GAAATATTGTCTCTATTTTGATGCACTTTTCATTTTAGTAGTGATGGTGATTTTGGATTGGGACTGACATTGATGCGTGGTGTTTGTATTGCCTGGTTTGAAGTTTGATTGTATTTAATGGAGGGGAAAAATCTATTTGAAATATGGGTTTTGTTTTTTCTTTTTGATTGTTGTTTGGGAGCAGATTTCAAAGGGTCTTGATTTTAGCAAATTTGGGAATTTGAAATTATGTTTTGTTTGGGCTGGGAGATTTTCGCAAATTTGGGTCTTGATTCGAATGGATGGGTTTTGATTTCGATATGGAAAATTTGGGAATTGATTTGGATGTGTTCCTTTGATGTGGATGGGATTGTAACTGATTGCATGTAGGTTGTGATTGATTGAAAATTTGAAACTAGAAAAAAATAAAGTAAAAATGAACAGCCAGTTGTCAGATATTTTCTCTATCGGACAATGTTTTGTTGCCCAAAATGCCTGTGGTTGTTCAGTATTTGCTCTACTAGATAGCATTCTATTTCCTAAAATGTTTGTGGTTGTCTGGTATTTGCTCTACTAGAGAGTGTTCTGTTGCCCAAAATGCCGAAAGTTGTTTGGTATTTACTCTACCAGACAGCGTTCTGTTTCCCAAATGTCTGTGGCTATCTGATATTTTGTCTACTGGACAGCGTTCAGTTGCCCAAAATTCTTGTGGTTGTCTGGTATTTGCTCTACCGGATAGCGTTCTATTGCCCAAAATGCCTATGGCTATCCGATATTTGCTCTACCGGACAGCGTTCTGCTGCCCAAATGCCTGTGGCTGTCTGGTATTTTGTCTATCGGACAGCGTTCTGTTGCTCAAAATTCTTGTGGTTGTCCGGTATTTGCTCTATCGAGCAGTGTTTTGATGCTCACAATGCTTGTGGCTATCCGGTAGTTATTCTACCAGACAGTGTTCTGTTACCTAAAATGCATGTGATTATCCGGTATTTACTCTACTGGACAGCCACAAGAATTTTGGAACATAATGTTGTCCGGTATATTGAACATCGGACAACATTCTAAACCTTTTTACTCAATTTTTTTGAGCTTAAAATTATTCTAGTTTCATATTTTTGGATACCCCTGTTCTAACTCAGAGATAACTTTTGCAACTATAAACGTCGATTATTCACTCACAACAAAATTTACATCCAAATACAAAAATTATCGAAAGACACCACCAAATTTTCACTATTCTTTAAACCCCTATTGTAACACTCACAAATAATTTTTTGAACTATTAACGTCTATTATTCACTCACAATAAATACCATCCAAAGTAGGAAGTTCCCATCCATATAAACACCATCAAAATTTACATCCAAATATCCACACCATCAAAAGAGACCATCCAAATACAAACATCATCCAAATTTACACCATTCTTTCTCAAAACATACACAATCAAAATGGTCATCAATCAAAAAATTGAGAAACGGAAGGTTGAAAAGATGATCTAATGGCAGTTGCTCCACCAGATGTCAGAGGCAATGGAGTATTGATGGGTTCTCTACAACTCCTCCTACTATTGCCTACCTCACCACAACGTTTATAGGCATAACCCTTGGTGGATATCTCTTTTGTCTGTCAGCGCCTTTCTTTGGCCTTCCTAGGTGTTGCTTGGTAATTGGGGGATATACAGTTCTATTAAAAGCTCTAATCAGAAGCATCGAGTATGGCACAAAATGGAATTCAGTTGCGTAGGTGGTCCTGTATGCTTGAACTCTGAAATATGGCTTGAAAAGTGGATTGGATGGAGGTCACAGTGATCCATAGCTCCAATTGCATGGGTACATGGTAACCTATTGTTCCTTCACGCTCTATAAGTACAAGTTCAAGCATCAAGATCTACAACATGGGTCATCTCCTCATGGATCTCATATTTTCTCTCTACGACCCATATAACGTTTTGCTCGAACCTTGACTTCGTAATCCGTGCAATAAGAACTTCTTGTGATTTAGGCACTAGAACATCATCCCACTGCTCACCTTCCTACCGACGTTCAGCCCATCTCTTCACTAACTTTATTCTCAAGTTTTCGCACAAAGGGATGAGAGGCATCTCACGTTCCTCTAAAATCCAACTGTTAAATGACTCACATATGTTGGATGTAAGATGATCGTACCTCTAGCCCTCGAAATAAGCATTTGTCCATTATTCTTTATCTTGAATCATTATCCAACTGTAAGCCACTTCACATATCTCTTTAATTTTCAACATCTCTTCCTCGAACTCTTTAGTAGATAATGCGCGTGCGGCTTTCCACCACTTCTTTAGCAGTACTTTGCTTTTTCCATTTCCCCTTGAAATTGTCCACAAGATGGAGTATGCAAAGACTTGGATACGATCTTGGGAATACAGTCCTAGATGCAGTTTGTGGTAAGTTTCTTACTTCCTGAAGAAACGTCAAATTCAATCTCTCTAAGAACCATATCTGACTTTCAGTGTGCTCATTCTCTATCACTGCAATCACAAAAGGAAACGTGCCACCATTAGCATCTACAGCTATTGCAGCCAATAAGATCCCCAGATATGTTCCCTTAAAGAACGTCCCATCTAACCCTAACAGTGGCCTACAACCATACAGAAATCCACTGAGGCATGGACGGAAGCTAAGAAATAGATGCTCAAATCTCCTATCCTCATTGGTTTGTATGACTGATATAGTTCCAAGGATAGTAATATTAAGTTTCTCAATATAGAGAGGTAGTTCAGTAAATGACTGTACTTCTGAGCCTAGGATCACTTGCCCTTGTAACTTCTTTTCCACACCAAACTTGCATGTATAATAATTGGACCCCATGATCCTGCTGAACATCATTTGCAATATCTTTTGGTTTGAGTATCATCTGGTCTTTTTGTGGACGTTTAATCCTTTTTGCAGCCCATTAGTTTCTTGCCAATGGCTGATGCGCCCTGCCCATTAGTCCTCTGCATGTGTGCTCATTTATAAATTCTCTCACCCTGAAGAATTTTGACTGTCCGACTCTAGAGCACGTGCCAAGTGCAATCTAGTGCTCCTTTAGAATAAGCATGCACTTTTTCTTGATCATTTCTACGATACTTTATCACAAAATTATGATATATTGTGTAATCAACTAAGTAATTACGTGAATCCACAACAATCTTGAAATCTTGTTCCACAACTTGGTCAAACGTGTTGATATGAATGGGAGCTCTAAGGGCATTGTGTCATCTACATCACGTTCCATCATAAGCTTGCCCTCAGGGTCTTACCCTTGCACTGTCATTGTGTTACTCATTGTAGAGACATTCACTTGTACAGAAGGGCAGCTGTGACAAAAAGTTTCAAGCATTTAGTAAATATTGATCCATGTAGTTCAAATATAATTCGATTTCATTAAAATATAATATTGAAGGCCTTTCATCACACAGACCTATCTCTTGTTGTTGGAGTGAGCAGTTGTATGAACAAAGGGCTTATGCTTCTGTGGATTTGGTTGCGATGGCTGTTTGCAACACATAGGAATATATTGGAGGGCACCATCAACATACACGATGCGTCCACATCATCTATTAAATTAACTAAGTGCTCCTTTTCTTCATACATAATTTTCAAACTGTTTGGGTCAGAGCTCATTATAGATCCGTTATGAGCCTTTAATTATTGTAGTGAGTTGCCTCCCTTATATATTGCTGCTTTTAAGTTACTATCTGTCTAAATTGTCCATCTATCATACTCATTTTCCTCAAAATAACCACCATGGTGAACCAATAATTTAACTCCACTAGTGGCCATGAATGAATCTGGCGAGCAAAATTAATATTATAAAGTCCACATAATTGGTATAGATTTCTTACTTCATACGCTCTAGCAAAACCAGAAAATATAAAAAGTAAAAATAAAATATATCTAGCATAATCATAAAAAAAAATTGTACATTATATGCGATAACATATCTGACATCGAATGGAAATAACCTAAAATCTAGATTTGGGGTTTTTTCCTACAAGATTGTATAACCTTATTCTTCTAGATAAAACAAAATACTATTCAGTATTGGGGTTTGCTTTCGATGAAGAAACACTACACTCATGCTGGAGCATAAAATATTTTTTATTAATAAAGTAAAATAATATGCCATGACTGAAGCTATCCTACTACATTTAATCAATAAAAATCCATTAAACCCTAAGATTGAGTTCATTATTTGATAAAATAATATATTTAAAATAAGGGAACCTAACTCTACATTCATGGTATTCCCAATCCTTTTTTATTTTTATCAATCAAAAAACATTCATTATCGATTCAATGGAATATTCAACAAGACCTAACATTGCATATTTTCAATCACAATCAAATAGGAAAATGAACACTCATAAGTGAACCAAAAGCCTTAATCCGCTATTTACAAATTTTGGGGTTATTTAATCACCAAAACCCTACTCCCCAAATCTCATTTACCCCAAAAAAAAAACTCCTATAACATACTTGATTCGGTTGTAGTTTGAGAAGCTTGCTTGAATGTCACACAGAGGGCTTGGATTCAGATAACATAGATCGAGTTAAGTGCTTGACTTGGGCTTGGGCTTGGGCTTCACTACATATGAAATAGAGCAGAGTGAAATGAGGGCTCTTTTTGCTTAAAAGGAGCCAAATAATTGTTCGGTATATGGACCACCGTATAAGGGTTTTAATTTATAAGTTAAAAAGACTCGGGACGTCAAACTTTAAAACTTGAAAAACTTAAAGACCCCGGACATGTTCTTTTTATTTAAATGCACAAAAACACCTATTCGGGTGTTTGGTTTACCAGATAAAGGGATAAAAAAAAAAAAAAAACAAAATAAAGAGAGAAAAGCGTGGGGGATGCCACCGTAATTTAGGAACAACATGTTTCCGTTTTGTAAATTTGGCCGTAAGTAATTTTCTCTTTCCATAATCCTTTTCGCATCTCATGTAAAATGTCCTTATCGTGCTTTTTCTGAATCTGGGTTTTTTCTGGCTGATCAGCGTTCTCGAACACTGCCAAAAGTGAAGATATTAATTCCCCCAATCTCAATATTTATTAATTAATCGAACGGTGAGGAACTAAATCACCACGAGAGAGTAATTAAAACAGTTGACATCAATCATTCCCCTCAATCAATGAACCCAACCTCGAACGGTTGCAGCGAGAAGGAAGAAACCAGGGAGAGAGATGGCCTTTCTCTCTCCTCCATCGCATGTTTCCCATCCGGATTTCCTGTTTATCTCTCCGATCCGTAACCAGATGTTGCCCTTAAAGCACGCCTTTTCCCCAACCTTTACCTTCAGGTGAGACAATAACCCAAGCTTTTAATGACTCTTGAGCAATTCAAGTTCTTATCTGCACATCTTCCCTCATTGTTCATTTGGGTGGTGGATCTTTATGTGTTTTTGAGGAAAGCCCCCATGAATAGAGAGAGTGGGGTACCATGATTGATCGGTTTAATTGTTGACAGATATACGAAGTTTCCTTTGAGGAAGAAGAAGGGGAAAGAGATGAAGAGGATGGGTACTGTTGTTTGCTCCTCTCTTTTGCCTCTTCATACTGATACTCTGCAATGGACCTTCACTGTTTCATCTGTGTAAGTCATCTCTCGCTCTCTGTCTAAGTTAAGTTCAGGTTCTTCCGGATCCGGTTAATTTTGTTCCTATAATTTGCGAAATTGTGAAGAGGTGGTACAGGAATTCGAGCGGCACCTCGCGATTCTTCGAGGCTTTGTTAAGTAACAATAAGACCTTGGAGAGTAGAGGGGGATGACTAAAAAGTCCATAGACCTTCTTCAAATTTACGAAAGTGGTTTTAGGAAACTCTAGTTTCATGACTTATAGAAACTACCCTTTTACTAAAAGGTGCAGGGTAAGGTGCACCTTCAAATTTTATCATGGTATATAATTTTACATTAGGATTATCTCAAAATCTATTTTTATTTTTAAATATAAAATTTGAAATTTTAAAAATAAATAAAATAATCTATAAACATATGAAAATCTTGAAAATAGACGGTGTAGATAATATGTTGTAAAATACACTATTTTTTAGATTTAAAATATTTTTATTTTAAAAAGTCATACATCTCGTTGAGATGATCAATTAAAGGGTTTTTCAACATTAAAACTATCTTTTTTGATGGATTTTTGAGAGGCATCCGTAGTTCTACGGTAGCATTCTTATATAAACTTTTTTCTTTACTAAATGAAAAAAAAAAAATTACGTTGAATCAGTTCGGATGATGGGCCCCTACCCATTTATTAATAATAAGAAATAGATATACATTCATATTACGATCTTCGGTAAGGGAACAACATCAGGTAGAGATAAAGGAGAGAGAAAATCCGGAGGCGAGCATCCCACACTGTTGCGTCGTTCATGGAAACTGCCCTCTTAGCTAGGTGATCGGTTGATATGTTGGCTTCCTTAAAAATAAAAAATATAGAGTGGAACCGTTTTTTGATGGGTTTATGAGACGTGCGCCTTAAGTCTATAGGATAAATGTTGAATCTACATAATAAATGTTATTGCTTTATATAAAGACCCGGTTTATTTGCTGCTAAGTCCGCATGTGTAGAAATACATGCCTCTTAATAAATCTATTTTTGAGATGGATTTTAAGACTTAATTTTTAAAGACATATAATCTCTAACATAGAGATCATGAATATGAAAAAATAAATAAATTTTTAAAACTAAAAATAATATTTCTAGTAAGAAAATATTTGAACCATTAGTTTCCATTGTTTTTAGATGGAAAATATTTAAGATGGATGCTTTACACTTTCAAGACCGCATCTATATAAATGCGATACAGCTCTCATGAAACAATTTTCTTTATATAAAATTGTATAAGGCAATAGCATTTATACTATAGAATTAAGGTATGCATCTCAAAAACCATCAAAAACCATTTTTTTAGAAAACCTCCAATTAATTATCTTGCCTAGAGATATATCGATGTCAAGAAGAAAAGATTTCCAGGTATTGGGAAAGTTGCATCTTTAATGCAATATTTAGAGTACCTATTTTATGGTTCTTCAAGATCTGCACTATTTTTGAAACTTTTAAATTTTGTAGTTAGGAGTGAACATACTTTTGGGCCATCATTAGGTATTCATACAACTGAAAATATATTTTTTACATGATTTGGAGGTACGCCTAACTATTATTGTGTAAAGTTGGGGCCTTACACAAACCAAACCCTTTATTATATAACTTCATACTATTTTGAAATAATGGTCTAAAAGTCGTGATCTGTCCAAAATAGCCACGATCGGATTCTTTTTTGACACGATGTTGCTAACAGTAGTTCGAATTTGCTCCCCTATATAGACAGCCAAGAGACTTAAGTGGCTTGTTGAAAGTTGTTGAAAAGAAGATGAAAATATTTCTTGAGAGCTCTGGGTTTTGAAAGACTAATTCAATAAGATGGAGTTGTAGAAGCAAGAAGGTAATAGGCATGTTTGAAGGTCAGTGAACGTTGCGTCTTTACCCAGACTCTTTTGTCACTTATTCGAAATGAACTAAATAGGTTGCTTGTAACTTATTTAAGGACTCGTATATGCATGCGAGGCGCTTAAGTCGGATGGCACTTGGCGGTCCAACTACCAAATATGTTTATTTTTTACGATTTAATAGCAGTTTAATGTGTCCGTTTCATTCAAACCCAGGGAGTATAAAGTTTTTAATATGCGACGGTTCTAGAAATGAACCGATCGAATTTCTTGAGCGTCAAACTGCCCTGTAAACCACAACAAATAAAAATAAAAATAACAAATGAATAGAAAAACGGTTGATGTTTGCAACATGAAATCAAGGGCAACATTAAATGGAAATAAAAAGGGGACCTCACCATGAAATTCAAAATTTATGGACTAATAGGTAATTCTATAAATAGGTAATTCTATAAATAAGTAATTCCACAAATTTAACGTAGTCTGTACATAAATTTCCTAACCGATAAAATACAAAATTAACAAAGCAGAAGAATCACGAAAATTCGAGGGTTCTCAGTCTGGCTTCATATTTACACCGGATATGGCACATGACGTGATACAAACTAATACCACCAATCTGACTTGGCGATTACAAGTGAGCCAAGTGTTTTTAGTAACTTTTCTCAACCATTGTTTTAAAAAAAATGTTGATTCAGATTAGAATCACTCGATCCATATCGAAAATCAATGTGAACTAACCCTATTCTTGATCAGAAATAGCAATCAAGCTAGTACCCACAAGATTGTCATGTTCCCCTAGGGAGGCAGCTGATTCTATCGAGGAACTTGGTATCTGGATTGCTTGGTTGCCATAAATTTTATTTTTTATTAATCGATCTACCGGGATCGCTCTTCCAGATCAGTTTCCTTGATGGCCTATTCACCCAACTGGCCTGGATTTTTCATTTTGATAAACAATTATAAAAAACAAAACATTTAAAAATGCATTCTAAAAGGTATTTTCTTAAGTAAAATGCTTTGATCCAGGCTTTAAAAAGATTTTTTTGCTCCAATTTTTTTAGAAGGCTTTGTTATAATTAATTAAACAATGTCGAAAATGAAAAATTGATTTTGAGTTTGCAAAGCTCTAGATCTTAAAATGTACCAAATGGATGATCTAGATACTCATTTTGGCTATATTCAAGGTACAAATTGAATTTTATGTTTTGGGAGTTTATTGTTGGGATGGAGAGAGTGCCTGTATAAAATTTAGGGTCACTACAAATGCCACAAACATAGTTTTTTAAATTATAGTTTCATTATATGACAATAACATGATGACATAATATCACTCCATATATATATATATATATATATATATATATATA